AAAAAACAAATGTTTACCTTTTAAAACTATAACTTTTGTTGGAAAAACGTCTACATTTATCTAACAAACATAAAATATACACCTAAAACAAACACACGTGCACACTCATTCACCGAGGCATTTATAAGGCGCGACCTGCTGCTCTGTGTGCGGGTGCATGTGTGTATGAGCTCCTTGAATTGTCACTACAGAGATTCACGTGCTCCTGTGTTTGTGTGTGAATCATTTATGTCACGGGTATGGATTATTGATTATAGTTTTTTATGGTCCGCCTGAAGTCGGACAGCAGGGTATCTAAATCATACCAACACTCTCCAATAAAGGCTCTATAGTATTTGTGTCAAGTAAAAGATGTCGTCTATCTTTGTGTGCGTCCTTGAGTGCCTGTGTCTGCGATTCCCTCCACCTTAGTGTGCGTATGTGTAGTTTAACAGCTTGTATACTTACCGCTGGGGGCTCCTGGGGTCAGAGCAGATGAGTCACAGCTTTGATAGATTGTCTCTTGTAAATAAGACACCTTTTATATAAGATACGTTTGAGCATGCATCAGGACAAGATACATTTATAGTTTGTATGCCACACTCTTTTGCTAATTAGTTTTGTCTTAGTGTCCTTAAAGGAACATTAAAGAGACTAAATGAAGGCTCAGTGTCATATGTGTGTTTTGTGTTTAGTTTTTTGTATTTGTTCCTGTGTAACTTGTGTTTTAGTTTATCCTGTGTCATTTTTCATTTCTCCCTCTGTCAACATTTTCAATAGTTTTCCTGTCTGCTATACCCTCACCTGTTCACAATAATCACCCCAGGTGTTTGTTGTGTTGTCTCGTTAGTGTCTCTTTAAATAACGTCTTATTCTGTTTGTCCCTTGTCTGTGAATTGTACTTCCCGAGCCTACGTGCTCCGTTTCCTCTGTGTCTCCCCATACTATTGTTTTTTGTGAGTTTTGCTTCCTCGTCAGCTTTTGTTTTGAGATTTTGTTAACACCGTATTTTCCACCATACACGTCGCACTGCCCTATAAGTTGTATCAGTCCATATTTGTCTAATAAAGTGGAAAAATCCATAAATATGTTGTTTCGCCATATACGTTGCATCTATTATGTATCACCCCTGACGCGTTGCATTTGTTACGAGTCACCGCTGACAACCCAGAAATATGGGCCGAACCTGGGAATGTGGGCCAGTGTTGTGCCAAAAATCGATTGGCTGCCAAATAGCGGCCGCGGGAGCGTGCACGGTAGGACTTTAACAAAAATTTAACAAGATTGACACTTAAAAACAATTGTTTGTTTGCTCGAAAATGTAGCAAAGGTGTGTCTCAGTCTAACTTTTCCTTAATAAATGCACTTTGACGGTCAAATCAGCTGAATTTTCAAAAGCCGATATGCGGAAACAGAAACGCACAGAGGACGACTCACTGTGCGTTTCTTCGAAATTTAACAAGATAACCACCTAAAACAATTGTTTGTTTGCTCGACTTTATAGTAAAGGTGTGTCTCAGTCTAACTTTTCCTTAATAAATGCACTTTGACGGTCAAATCAGCTGCATTTCAAAAGTATTTGCTGCCTCGGTGCTCTGGGAGTGCGCAGAGGGAGGAAATCAGGAAGGAGGAACGCTGCTCATTTCTTCGAAATGTAACAAGATCACCTAAAATAATTGTGTTTGCTCGACATTATAGCAAAAGTGTGTCTCAGTTGAACTTTTACTTAATAAATGCACTTTATTGACCAAATTAGCTGCATTTCACCAGGGCGGCGCAGTGAAATGAAGCTGATTTGACTGTTGCTCCAGGCACGCTGGAAAACGGTGGCAGGCTATGGCAAGCCGATTGTGTCATTAATAGCCACTTTTACCTATTACATAACAAAACGGCATGCCATACTACTCGAGTGCCATCTAGCGGCTGAAAATGGTAGTATTCAATATTTTCAGTCAGAATGAAAATGGTCATATCTCAGCTAAATATTGGTTTATAAATATGGGGATAAATCCACAAATACGTCACATCAGCGTCTAAGTTGCAGGGCATGACATATGAGAGATGGTAAGTGCTCTCACAGTGTTAAAAAAAGTTCCTACAATAGGTTACAAACACTGAATCTGAAAAAAGATTGATGAACTATAGATCATTAGTGAACCAGGTTAGATGCAGGTGGACAGCCTCAAATATATTTTCTAGTATCTTTATTTAGTTTTGTCTGGAAAACAAAAAAA